AAGAGCGCTGGTCCTGGAGTCGGGAAGACTCATCAGGTTGTCCCTGTCGTTATTCAGTTGTGTCTGAGTGTCCCGCTTTGGGACCCCATTTAGAGTTTTCTTGGCAGAGATACTGGAGTGGTTTGTCATTTCCTTCTCCAGTTTGTTATAAAAACCCCAGACTCAATTCAGAATTCAGCCCGAGACTGGGCTCAGAGAATTCCCCCGAACAAGAGTTAGCTGGGTCATAACGAAATCACAGTTGTGGAATGAGAGAAGAGATACCTTTATTAACAATTTTAGTGAGAATTGGGTGTGTTCCCTCACTGGAATCACATGCCTGCCTATACAGGAACAGAGCAAGCAGTTTTATAGGATTACTTGGCTTTAACCCCCAACTTGTCCCAACATTCCTGCACGTCCCACTTAACATCTGTGTTTGCAATGCAATGTCTATTGTTTCTATAGAGTCTGTGAAAACCAATTTCCCCCTCATCTTGTTTACATATCTGTGTAAACCAGTAAACCAATAAACCAATCTCCCCCTGTCCTGTTTTCTTATGAATTCTGTGGGAACCAAACTGTTAGCATTTCTCACAAGCTCATTTGACGGATGAGGAAACTGAGGCAAACCTGGTGAAGTGATTTGGATTAAGTAACCAGATTTGAACTCGTGAAGATGAATCTTTCTGACTCCAGACCCAGCATTCTATCCGCTGCACCACCTGAGTTCCAATTTGGCCTCAGATACTTACTAGCTGTGTGGCCCTGGGCAAGTCGATTAATCCTGTCTCCTTCTTAACACATCACACCTATCAGACTGGCTAACATGATAAAACAGGAAAATGAAAAATGTTGGAGAAGATGTGGGAAAATTGGAACACTGATGCATTATTGTGAACTGATCCAACCATTCTGGAGAACAATTTGGAACTATGCCCAAAGAGCTATAAAATTGTACACACTCTTTGACCCAGAAATAGCACTTCCAGGGTTGTACCCCAAAGAGATCATAAAGATGGGGAAAGGACTCAGACATACAAAAATATTTATAGCAGTTCTTTTTGTGATGGCCAAGAACTTGAAATTGAGGGGATGCCCATCAATTGGGGAATGGCTGAACAAGGTGTGGTATATGAATGTATTGGAATACTATTGTATTATAAGAAATGATGAGCAGATGGACTTCAGAAAAACCCGGAAAGACGTACATGAACTGATGCTGAGTGAAATGAGCAGAACCAGGAGAACATTCCACAGAGTAACAGCCACATTGTGCGATGACTGACTTTGATAGACTTAGCTCTTCTCAGCCATGCAAGGATCTAAGACAACTCGAAAAGACTCATGATGGAAAATCCTATCCATATCCAGAGAAAGAACTATGGAGTCTGAATGCGGATGGAAGCATACTATTTGCTCTCCTTTTCTTTTGTTGTTTTGTTTTGTTTCTTCTTTCTTGTGGTTCCTCCCATTAGTTCTAATTGGTCTTTACATCAGATGAATATGATTACATCAGATGAAAATATGCTCAATATGAATGTGTAAGTAGAGCCTATACCAGATTGCACGCCGTCTTGGAGAAGGGGGAGGAGAGGGAGGGGAAGAAAATTTAAAATCAAAATCTTGTGGAAGTGAATGTTGAAAATTAAAAATAAATAAATTATTTAAAGAAAAAAAAAGAATCAGAGAAAATAATAGAAAAAAAATCCTGTCTGCCTGTTTCCTCACCTACAAAAATGGTGATAATAATAACATTCACCTCCAACAACAGTGTTGTTGTAAGGGTCCAGTGAGATAATATTTGTAAAGTGCTGGCATATGCTAGGCACTATATAAATGTTTGCTATTGTTATTATTATTGCTTTCTTTTATTCAGTAAGCAATAGAGAGAATAGCACGATCATAGCGATGCATTGACCTCATTACTTGGGCAGAAGTATGTACAGAAATGATTGGAGGGACCAGAAGTAGGAAGATCCATCACAAGGAAAGACGTGGAGCTGTGTGACTTCCTGAGTCCCCTCTCCTCTTTGGGTCCATCCTCCTGTCTGTGGAGTGAAGAGGCTTCCAGCCTTATAAAACCCTGTAATCCTTTGTCTATGGACACAAGAGGGAGCAGGAGAAAAGGCGAGATCCTGGAACCAGGAGAAATTTCAAAAGATAGACCTCGTGTCACCTTGGGCCCTTTTGGGACAATGGAAGGTCAGGGAGGGTCTGCTTACACATTCCTTCCTTCACATACCCTACATTCTAGGCACTCTGAGCTACTGGCCAGTCCTCATAGACAGCATTCCAGCCTCTACCTCATGCCTAGAATGCCTTTCCTCCTCACCTTGGAAATCCTAGCTTACTACAAACTCAGCTAGAGAGATGTTTCCCATACAAAGCCTTTCCTGATGCCCTCGATGGCTAGTGTTTTCCCTACCTCCCCTGAAATGACTTACTGTGCCTTCTACAGACAGGGACTGTTTCATCGTTGTCCTTCTCCCTGGTGCCTAGCACATAAAAGGTATCTAATATTTGAATGGACAAATGGGAAGGCAGGAAATAGGAGGGGGCACCTGAGAATTGGACCTCAGAGGACAGACTTGAATAGGTTGAAGACAGGTGCAGTTGTCCCTCCTTGGGGATAGGAAGAGATACACGAAGGACCCACAGAGACATCCTCAAAGACTTAAGATTTTAGTCCTACTGCAATATGCCCCTTTCTGCTCCCAGACTAGCAGGGCAGCACCCAACACTCCAGAGTTGAACAGACCCTAGACATTTAAGTCAAATGGAGATGGCCAGAGGGTCTCACAGTGTTTGAGCTGAGACTCACACCCAGTGCTGAATATACCACACTGCATCTCAACTAAATGGGCTCTTACATTTTAGAGGAGGAAAAAGACCTCAAAGGTCACTGAGATCAACCCTCATTTTACAGATAAAGAAACTGAGGCCTCTGAGCATAACTGACTTGTCTAAAGACAACCCAGTGGTGTCAGAGACAAGATTTAAACCCAGGGCCTCTGACTCCTAATACATGCTTCCTCCCACTCCATTAAAAGAATTTAGAGGCCAGCCAAGCCGTCTCACACAAATTCTCTGCTCTGATTCTTGGCCTAAGAGCCTGGGAAATCCCATCAGACGGAAAGTAGGCTTCTTCTATGACCAGATGAGCAAGATGGCGGCACCCATGAAGGTCTCTGAGCTGGAGAAGCTCCCCACATTGGGGAATAAGACAATATGGGAAGCGAGAATTGAGCCAAGTTGGCCATAAAAGGCCATGTCACCAGAAGGGAAGGAATGGAAAATGATTAGCTCAAGAGCATGGTGTGGTGGACAGAGTTCTGGGTTTAGGGACGTGGGACTCTTAACTCTGTGGCCTGTTCAGAGCTGGAAGGCACCTTGGAGGCCAATTTGTTCGACCTCTTCATTTTACCAGTGAAGAACCTAAGGCCCACCGAGATGAAGGAATGTATCTAAGTTCATCTGGTAGTAAGTGCAAGTAAAAAATGGAAACCCTATAAAAGGGAGAGCTGAGAGAGAAGGCAAGTCAGGTGTAAAACAGGGCCTGACAGTCCTGGGCAAAGGGGGTGAGAATGGAATTTACAATTTTCATATCAATCGATGATATAATTCCTTTTTTCTCAAAAGCTGCCTGTCTGGCTCAGGTGTCAGAGTTCACAATGCAGTTTAAACTGACTAATCAAAACTGACATCCACTCACAACCACTGGACCTGAAGAGAATTGAATCAAAGACTGGAGAACCTGGTTCAGTCACAGAACTCTGGTTCTGTACTTTGGGGGAGGTGGTCAAAACTCCCAAAGATGACTCCAGAATTGGTATATTGTGGGACTTAGGGATTTGTGGGAAACCACTAAATGAACATTTGTAATCCACCGTCCCCCTCCTTCGCCAGCTGTGATTTAAGTATATAACCTGTGCTCTTACTTCAGCTGAGAGCATTCCTCACTCTGAAATCAAATTAAACTACTTGGTTACTGGCACTTCCTGTCTGTAGGCCTGCCTTGCGGGGCTCTGGGAATTCTAGGGTTAGAGACTGGTTCAGTAAAAATCCTGTTAACATCATGGGATCCCAGGCCTTGGGCCGGAAGGAGCTAATCCACCCCCTTCACTATAGAGGAAGGAAAGCTTGGGGCCCAAGGTCACACAGGTAGTGTAAGGAGCTGGGCTTGGAGGCTTTGGGGACCTTCAGGGTCAGAGAACTAGACTCTTGGTCTGGAGGCATCTGAAAGGCCCCAAGTTCTGGCCTAGGCTGATTCATTCCACACTCCAAGACACTCAGGGTGCTTATTGGGTGCCATACTCCTGGAAAGTTACCTAACCCAAAGGAATGAATTCCAGGCCTGGGTGGAAGATGAGGGGCGGTTCCCAGCCCACGCCCACAGCCTTCCCCTACCAACCCATCAGGGGCACATGACTGCCCAGGAAAAGCTAGGAGGCACTTTGCCAGCTTCCACAGGAAGCCACTTCTGAGAAGGTCTCAAGGGCGCCCCTCCCCCCCCACTTCCTCCAAAAGGCAGTCAAAGGTAAGCCAAGAAGCTGCCACAAAGAAAACTCCCAGGACCGAGGAAAGGTGCTCTGGGCACCGACCCCAAAGGGGCTCAAAGAGCAAACCTTCGTGGATTTCATCTCATTTGGCCTCACCACCACCTAGCGTAAGACTATTCTCATTCCCATTTTACAGATGGGAAAATGGATACCTACAAGTGACCTGACTTGCCCGGGGCCATCTACTCAGTGTCTGAGGCTTTCCTGCCCTCTATCCCCCTCACAAGCTGGCTGCCGCCTGGGCAAATGCCTACCCAGAATCTCCAAGAAGCCGACGGACAGGAAATGGAGGGGAGAGGCAGCTTGTGCTTTCTGGTGCAGAAGTGGGGCCCCAATGGGGGGACGGGCACCCCACAGGGTGCTGGACATTCCAGAAACCCCCCAGGAGGGAAAGGAGGAGTGGGGTGGGTGGCTTAGGACCCCCTAGAAGAAAATGGACACTCCACAGGAAATGCTCATCACTATCGTTTTAATACACAGCTCCAGGCTCAAAACTTCGTCCCGTGACATCTTCAACAGTAAAAAAAACCCCAAACACCCCCACCCCGAGCCCTGCCAACACGCACACAAACACAACAAAGACCCGACGAGAAGAGGGGACCCAGCGGGCAGCCTAGGCCACGTAGGAGAACTTGAGCAGCAGCCCTTCTCCTGGGGCCACGGGCAGCTTGTGCAAGGGCAGCACGCTGCCTTCCTGGTGGCCCCCTTGGGTGCTCAGCACCAGGGCTGCCTTCTCGGGAAGCTCCAGCTTCCGGCCGCTGGGCACAGCGGGCATCCTCAGCTCAGCCTCCTGCCTCGTGGAGCCCAGGTTGAGGACAACGATGAACCGCTCGTTCTGGTCCCAGTAGCGCACGTAGGCAAAGAGGTCGTCTTGGGTGGGCAGGACCACCAAGTCCCCGTGCAGCAAGGACCGCTCCTTCCCTCGGCTGTCACTCAGTTTTCGGAAGAGAGCAAGGAGGGAGGTGGGGTCGCTGCTCTGGCCCTGGCAGGACAGGAAGATCGAGCCAAGTGAGACAGACAGACAGACAGACAGACACAGACAGGCTCTGCCCACCCCCACCCTTCATCCTCCTCCCAGCCCCACCAGCACCAACCCAAAGGTTACCTGAACAGTCATGTTGAGGTTCACAGGCTCAGAAGACCCAAGTGTTTTTTCATCCCAAAGCATGATGGGGGCTTCAGCAGGCTGAAAGAGGGAAAAGGTTTGAAACCTGGAGGGCCTAGGACAAAGGCCAGCCAGAGAAGCAGGGAGCTCCAGCCCTTCGCGGGCCCTGGGCTCAAGGCAGGCGCCTCTCCTAAAAGTGGCTGCAGCCAGCACCCATCCATTACACATCCGTTGGGGGTCAGGGGTCTCCCCTCCTCCCAGACCCCCCAATCCAGGTCTGATATCCTTACCTGTCCAGGCAGGGTGGCCGCCTGCAAGCCAATTTCATCCCCATAACTAAAGATAGGTGTCCCGGGAAGTGTGAAAATCAACAGGTGATACAGGCCAAGAAGACGTGCTGGCACGTAGGAGGCCAAGTGGCCAACCTGAGAGGACTGTCCCAACAAGAAGAGATTGCCTGGGGTCAGCAGATGACCTTCCCTCCCCCCTTCTCCCATATACCTCCCTATCCAGCAGCTATGGGGGAAGGGAGCACCACAGGTCCCAGAGCTCAGGGAAGACCCAACTTCAAATCTGGTCTCAAGACACTTGCTGGCTGTGTGACCCTGGGGAAGTCAATGAACCTCTGCTTGCCTCAGTTTCCCCATCCACAAATTGGGAATAAGAACAGCACCTCCCTCCCAGGGTTGTTGTTAGGACCAAACAAGATAATAATTAAAGCGCACAGTGCCTGGCAGTTTGTTTCCTTCCTCCCTATCTATCCCTTTTCCTGTAGCTGCCTCTATCTCCCTTTCAAGCCACACCAACCCCATTCAGGGACTTCCCGCTGCCTATGACATGAGGCAGCCAGTATGGACCCAAGACCTGGGTTCAAATGCTGCTGCCAGGGATTTAACAGCTGGGACCCACAACAATTCCTTTAACCACTCAGGGCCTCAGTCACCCCTCCACACTACAACTCCAAGTTACGGGGCCAGCTAGATCTCCAAGGACCCTCCTGGAAGCTCCTTTTGCAGAGGAGGAAACTGAGGCTCAGTGGTGACTAGCCTGGAGTTCCTGAAGCAGGCCTCGGGCCCAGGGGCTCCTCCAGCCCTCCCTCCCCCGCCTCTCCCCAAGGCTCCTGAAGGCCTCGACTCACCGTCCAGCTGCACCAGCGGCCACCGGCGGCGCTCAGGTAGTCACTGACCAATTCTTTCAGCTCTTTCCCTGAGGAGCTCCTTCCCCCAAAGTCCTCCAGATACGAGCTGCTCAGCAGGTCAGTCTCATTCAGCAGGCTCAGGATCTCAGAAATGTTTGAGGCTCCTGTTCCTGCAATCAGGACCCTGGAGGATGGGGGTGGAAAGAAGGCAGAGATGAAAAACAAATTGATATTACACTAAAAGTTAACTAAGGTAGGAATATTATTTGGAGGGTGAAAGGTCCAGCTGCTTCTTTCAAAGATAAAGAGCCCTGGGGGTGAGCTGTTCCTGAGGCTTCCCAACCCAGGTGGGAGACCAACGCTAAAGCCAGACTTTCTCACCAGAGCGTTTCTGTTACTCACTTGTCTTCACTGATGCTATGAGTGAGGTTATTCCAATGAGGCAGGAATGAAGAAGCATCCTGTGGGGAGAGCAGGGAGAAGGCCAAGTCAGGCGGACAACGGAGGACGTCTCTCCCAGAACGGAAGAGGCCCCGCTACCCCCCAGGGGAGAGAAGAAGGGAACTTACAGCAAGGTTCTGGACATCGTGGACCTGGATACCACTCACACCCGCCTTCAGCCAAAAGCTCAGGGCTTCCTGTGGGGCAGGGAAGGAGAGACGGGAACAGTGTCATGGGAATGCAGCAGCCTAGCAGAGCCCCAGCGACCTGGAGCGGAGCACAGCCGTCTGAAGGGCTATTAGGACTAGGAAGTCGAGACAGTCTTCCCTGCCCCATGCCCTCCCCATATTGTTCTCACCAACTGGAAACCAGCCCTGGGAGCTGACTTCTACTTTACCCAGTTTGTAGGACGTCTTGTTTTCCTATCACCTTCATTTCCTAATATCCCCTACCCAGGAGGTAGAAGTAAGGCCACAAGCTAGGAACTTCTGGCAGAGAAAACTCCTTCAGCTAACACAGGCCAGTCCCTTCTACTCTTATAGACTTGTCTAGAGCTGAGGCATCAAAACTCAGGCCTTTGGCCAGAACCAGATTAAAACATAATTGGGAAATGTTTGAGGAATAAATGAAATTACAATTCAACATAGATAATGCTGATACGTGGTTTTCAAAGTCAATACATGTCCAATCCCTACTTGATAGCACCAGAGATGAAGGGATTTGCTCAGTCTCACACAGCCAATGACAAAAGCAGAATTTGAACCCAGGCCTTCCCGGTTCCCAGACTTCACTCTTTCTCCTGTCACGCTGCCTCCTCATTATAAGATTAAGTAAGAGAAGTAGCAAAATCAAGGACAGAGGCCCGACCTTTGGCTGGCAGACTTTACAAAGCTTTCTCCTAAGGGATAGTGAAGGGGAGAAGGGAGGGAGAAAGGGATAAATTCAGAAAACGCAGAAGGAAGCCTTCAAATGGATTTCACACTCATGGCTCCGATTAGTAGGAGGCACATTTTTCTCACTCGGGGTCCAAACTCGGGTCATCCATTCAGTTACAGGAATTGACTTAAACTCCCTACTGGGCCCTCTTGTAAAGGGACTCGAGCCATCTTTATGTATCTATAGAAATAGGGCCAGGCTCCCTTTGAAGCCCTGAAAAGCCTTCGTGAAGTCCTGCCCCTGCCCGCCCCCACCCCCCAGTGTATTTCTGCTTATTTCGGGAGGGAGGGGAAGCAGTTACTCCAGCCCAAGCCAATTAGGCCAACAGCTCAGACCACAATATTCAGAACAGACAGGCCTAGGCCTGTGTGGATTGTAGCAAGAATCAGTGGCATCCATAAAGCAGTCTTATTAGTCAGGTTATCCACCTCTCCTTTGAATGGTTTTATCTGCCCTTCTCTATTACCCTTTCCAACTCCACCAAGCAAATCCAAATCCCTTCCATGGGGCCCTTTCGTTAAATCCATTTTTCTACTCACTCCCAATTTGGGGCTCAGGTTGAGATGAAACCAAGGCCCCTCAAACAAATGCAAAAAATTATCTTTCCAAAGAATACCCAAGAATCCCCTCACTCTCAAACTCACCCCGCCTCCCCCCCAACACCCAGCAGATAAAACAGAAGACAAAGATGTGCAACAAGTCAAGGCCTAGAAAGGAGTGGGAGGCCAGGAGAAATCTCTCCTTCCCTGTCCATGAAATGTGACTTTCCCAAGGGTAGATTTCAAACAGGCTCTCCTCCACCACCCACCCACCCACAAACCCCTGGGAGTTCTCTGTCCCCCTCCCCAGAGCCCTCACCTTCATCTTCCCATTCACATCTTCATTCTGATTGGGCAGAAACCAGCTGCTCTGACTTCGGTAGTTGGGGGTAAGATCTAGAATGATCTGGATATCTGGGGAAATGAACAGAGGTGGGTGGCCAGTCAGGGGGGCACCAGAAGAAAATGTCACTCCCACTCCTCCTTAACCCTGACCCCCAAACATTCACAGATGCAAGTACTTCCCCCCCCAAGGGTCTCCCCATCCTCAGGGATCCATGGGTTCCTACATCATCTGGTCAGCAGCCCCCTTATTTTACAGAGAAGGGTCCAGAAAGGCAAACAAAGACAGAGCCTGGATTCAAACTGGACCCCAGGCCTCTTCCCTCTCTTTCACTCTAGAATCGCCCAGGCAGAAAGTAGCTTCTCCTTCCCTGGGGACAAGTAAGAGACTAGGGAGGCTTTCCCAAGCCCGGTGTCACCCACTCCCCTCCCCTTTCTTCAGGACCACCCACTCTTTTTCTTGGCTGCTTCCAAGAGTTGGGTGAACTCTTCCTGGGAGCCAACGGTGGGGTCGATCTGCAGCAGGTTCGTCTTAGCAAGGTCATCTTCAAGGTTCTGGTGGATGGGCCCCAACACCAACGCCTTCACCTTCAGGGTGCTCAGGTAATCAAGATGTGCCTTCAATCCTACTTGGACAGGGAGGGTGCTTTAGATTCTGGATCGGTCACAAGAGCTGCAGGGTCTCCCGGGAATTCATTCTCATTCATTTTCTTTCTCAGTCTCTCTTCCCCCACCCTCCTCCCAACTTCCGGGAAGAGTGGGGGCGGGGCTCCACTTAAATCACCAGGCCAGTCAGAACAAGCTGATGTAAGCACTCCGTAGTCTTACTCAAGCTTCCCCTCGAAGTGGGCAGGCGGGGAGGGAAAAGGAGGGAATGGAGGAAATGCTGAGTCAGCAACGCCAAGGAACTCTGACCTAGGCCGCCTTCCTCGGGCTACGGGGAGGTGGACGTCTGACTCAGCCCCAGATTACACGGAATTGGGGGGGGGGGGGCGCGGAGGGGGGGGGGACCCCAGCAAGCGGGGGGGGGGGGGGGCCCGGACGGGGCCGGGGGGGGGGGGGGGGGGGGGGGGGGGGGCGCGGAGAGGGTGGAGACCTCAGCAAGCAGGTGTGGTCGGGAGCCCGGACGGGTCCGAGGGAGTGGGGCACGTGGAGGCAGGGGAGGGATGCCTTTCGTAACGCCACCCCCTTCGCCCCCCCACTCACCAGCCAGAGTCCCGTTGGCGTTCTCGGGCTGGCCGTGGAAGGCCTTCAGGGATCCGATGCGGTACAGGGCACCCTGGTGCCACCAGCGCTGGACGGGCAGCTCGCGGCAGCGCGGCGCCTGGACGATGATGACCACGGCGCCGGCCAGCATGCCCAGCCAGCCCAGCCAGAAGAGCAGGAGCAGGGCCCAGCGGGTGCGCACCCAGCCGGGGCTCCCGGCCACCTTCAGCAGCTCCTCCTTGGACAGGCCCGTGAACTTGGCGGCAGCCGCGGCGGCCGCCGCATCAGCCTCGTCGTCGGCCACCTTGACCTTGACCACGCCGTTCTTCTCGCCCCCCGAGGCGGCGGACGGCGGGCCGGCCGCGTTCATGGGCTGCTTCTCGGGCTCCAGCTCGTTGAGCTCCACCTCCTTCATATCCACCTCCGCCATATCCACCCCGGCGTCTTGGCTCATGGCGACGTGGCCGGCGAGGGCTCCGGCTTCGCCTGCGGGAAGGAAAGAACAGCCGAGCCGGAGTGAGCGGGGCCCCTGTCCGGGGGAGGCGCGGGAGGCGGGGGCGGGGGGCCGGAGCCCCGGCGTAGGGAGGACACAGACTTACCTAACGCTCCTTCCGCTCCGGTGAAGTGTGCGCGCTGCGCTCCGGGGCAGGATCCAGACCCCAGGCTGGGAGCTCCGCCTCCGGCCCGCCCCGGCCAGCCTCCTTAAGGAGGAGCCAGCCCGCCCCCGGGATCGGAGCGGCTGGCCGGAAGCCGGCTCCGAGGCCCCCCCCCACCCTCCCCAGTCGGCTCGGTGGTCTGGCTAGGGCAGTGCGGTCCGTGAGACCCCAGACAAGTCCCTTAACCCCTCGGAGTCGGTCATCACCTCATCCGCAAGCAGTAAGTGAGCACCTAGTATGTGCCAGGCACTGAAAAATGCTGCGACTGGAGGCCAGAAGATCCCTGGGGCATTTAGCTTTCTTTGGCTAGGACAAATGGTGACGAGAACACTGGCACCAACGACGCTGCTCCAAATGATGCTGAGAAAAGGCATTTGGGAGCCTTCCAGAGCTCCTGAGGCCTGAGCAAGAACGTCATTCATTCATTCATTCATGGATGGGACCCCGTGATTTCATTAGAATCGGGAAGTGCTGGGGGAGGAAACTCCCTGCACAAGCGCAGGACGGCATCTCTCTGAAATGGCCAGTCTTAGAGATCTGCCCAGAGCCGTCAGTGGTGAAGTCACTTTCCCAGGGTCACACGGCCGGCTTCTCGTGGTAGGACTGGAACCCGGGACTTCCTGGCTATGAGGAGGCTGCTTCTCAAGCCACTGGGCCGCACTGTCTCATTCCCTCAGTTCATCCAATAAACATTTATTCACTGCCCGTCGTGCCAGGAGGCCCCAGACAGGCCTTGGGGAAGAAACCCGGCTTAGGTAAATCACGTTCCCTGCCCTCTTCTGGGAGCTCCCTGCCCTCTTCTGGGAGCTCCCT